TAGGTTAATTATATAAAAGTAGCTTACTTATCTTTTTTAAGTAAAAACTACTATATTATGCGTAAGTTTAATTCTTTTACTATTAAACTTAATAAGTTGCTTTTTTACTAAAATAGTCTTACTCTTTATATAAAACTTTGCTTTTTGCAGTTTCTTCTCTTCTCTTTATATAAAATTCTTTATTATAATGCTTAAAGTGTTATCTATCTATAGGCTAGTAATACTAAAAGTGTGCTCTTTTTTATTAGTAATTAAAAGGTAGGGGTTATATAAAAAGGTGTGCATGCGCAGCTTTTTTTTATAGTAGTTATAGTATGTTTTAAACTAATACAGTCCTAATTTAGTAGCTCTATACAAGGGTTGTACAACCTAGAGTATTGTATTTAGTAGAAAGCTCTAGCGCATCTCCTTTAGTAGCTTTATGTACAGCGTGCGCATAAGCTTATCTATTAATTAGATGTATGCTTATATAATATTACACAGTTTAAAATGCATTCTGTACATAGCTTTTAGGCTTGCTTCTATAGCTAGAAGTAGTCTCTAGCTTATTCTCTAGATAGTTAGTAACTAGGTAAGAATTTCTCCCTTCTTTTTATCTAAGTAGCTAGTAAACACTAGGCAGAATTTTTTATATAGTTAGGTTGTTTTGCCTTTTACTTTTTATATAAAGTAAAGGTTAAAAATCTAACCTTTATACCTTATTAGGTTATACACTATAACCTTAAAAGTGCTGTTAGTAATTAAGGTGTCTATCTCTATGCAGTTTAATTTCTTAAATAGTTCTTTAAGTGTAGTAATTACACTGTCTATATAAAGCTTAATAGATAAGGCCTAATTACTTTTTTTTTTCTAGGTTAGAAATACCTAGTCTAGACTTTATGCAGGTTTCCTTTGCCTTTTACTTCTCCTAGTATCTATATTTTCTCTTTGCACTAGTGCGGCATTGCTATCCTAAGGGGCTTAGTCTGTAGTAGGCTTTAGTTCTGCCTCTATAGTATTTTTATAGGGCTGTTCTCTCTTCCTCTTCTTTAGGGGATCTCTTTATATAGAGATTAGTTTATCTAGGTTATTTGTTATAAGTAAGTTGTCTTTTTTTTTTTCTTTATAGTACAGTTTAACTTGCGTATATTAGAGCTTTAGTAGGCTATTTTTCTTTTTAATAATAACATCTTTTCTTTTAATGCTCTTAATCTTGTATAGGCTAGTCTAGCCTTTCTTCTCTCTCTATGCTATAATCTTTAAGCTAAGGGGGAGGTTAAGAACTTTATGTGTTATAAGGCTATTATAAGTGTTAATTACATAATTAATGTTTACTTTTATATAGTCCTTTTAAAGTATCTTTATTACCTTTTATACAGCGCTTGCTTGTGCAATAATGTCTAGTAATAGTAGAAAGTTTAAGTTAATTTTTAGGTATGCCCTAAAAACTAGCAGCGTAGGTACTAGACTGTGTAGGCTAGCTGTGTTATTTAGAGCTTTAACTGCTATCTGTAGGATAGCCTTATTATCTGTACAGTTACCTAGCTTAGTCTTTAGGATGTTAAACACTTGTTAAAGAGGTGCGTGCGCGCGCTTAACTTTTCTAACTGCCTAATGTGCTTCTATAGGCATCTGCCTACATGTAGCTCCTATAATTTTTGCATAAGCTTAAAAATCCTTTAAAGCAAAGTTTATACTAGAGTTATGCATAATGTAGTCTAAAGGTTCTTAATAGGTGTTAATTTAGCATTTGCATAGTGCATCCTAGGTATCTTATGCAGACATAGATTTTAGAAATGTGGCAGCCTAAAATAATGTGTCTATATTAATAACATATAAGACATTTTTATTAT